GTTGAAGTATTTGTTTAGATGAAATTGAAAGAGAATAGCTTGGATATAAAACTTGAATATCGGTACCTATAAGATGGTTGTTGAAACGTTTATTAGAGGAAGTTTCAAAGGAGTTTTGACATTGGAAGTAATATGCGATTATTTAAATTCTTGGAAATTAATTTCCTAAATTGAAATTGACATCTGATGGGAATTGATGTTGTGAAGTATGATAATCGTGTTGATAACTATCAAGGAAAATGATTTAAGAAGTAAGGAGTTTAATTGATTTAGTTGAAAATTTATGTGAATTAGGTGTTTGTAAAAAGGTTTAAAAAGGGAATTATATTCTAATAATTTAATATGTTGGGTTAAAAATGATATGAGAAATTTGGAGACTTAAATGATAATGAAGGATAAACTTTGACTTATTTAAGTTGATTGTGATTCTACTATTGGAGTAAGAGAGTTTGTTCATCTGGTAGCAAATTTATTAAAATTCTATCATGTTTGATAGGGTCATTAGAAGAAGAAAAAAACTTAATTGCAATTGTAAAAAGAAGGAATTTTGGAACTATGTGATATATCAGGTAAGTAAATAACGTTCCCTATAAGTTAAAGATGATGATTTTTCTTTTTTTTTCAGTTTGAATAGATAAATAGAACTTTCCTAAATTTAATTTTTGTGTTTATATTTATTATGGAGCCTTGGAGTGTTCGTGTCGAAGTGTGTACATGGTTTTATAGGATTTAAATTTATTGACAAATATTTTCATTTGATTATTTTGTTTTCCAAAATACATTATCCATGCGTGGATTGGACAATTTACTAATGGAATGATCAAGTATGCATTATAAATTTGTGAATAATTTGAACTACAAGTATATTTTCCTTCTATGCATGGCAGAAATGTTTTATAGAACTGTATACAAAACGTTAGTTACTAATGACAATTTAGTTAGCCCTTGGCGTGCCATGGCACACCTAGCTAACAGTGCATATAAGAGATGCTAGCCCCATGGAATGGAGGATGTGATTTAGTGAATTTAATCCACGCTTATTATTTATAAAATTTATGCTTGCGTTTGTTTTTTGTAATTTCTAGCCATGTTAGATGTTACTTACCCTCATGAACTATATGTCCATGCCTGCTATTCATTCTATTTAGGTTTACTCTTAAGATCAACTATATTTTTATGATTTGTTTTATATAAAAGATATATTCTTAATTTGTTGATCATGATTCTCTATCTCCTCCTTTCTATTTTATTACATGATTATCATTATTTATTTACTTATTTATTATTTTAGGACATTATTTACTAAAAATTTTTTTGATATTCAGATAGTAAAAGCAGACCTCCTCTTCAGTAGATCTTGTGGGACTCCTAGAGACAAGAAATAGTTTACTGCTTCAATTACATTATGGATTAATGTAAGTATCTGAACATTTTGTCTTTTTGTTTTAGAATCACTGCACGAATCATACAGCAGGACCCTTAGTTAGATTATTTTGAGTTGTATATGTGTATACTATTTCAGAGCCAAATTCTGATTGTTGCCTGGATGTTCTTTTTGGCAAGTTATAGAAATTTCAGGAAGTCCAACTTACAGTAAAGACTCTGCCAAAATTTCTACAGCTAGTTCAAATATTTTGTACCTATTAACAATTACTCAATATAAATGATGATCGTATGACAAAATTATAATCAATATGATAGATGTATTAAGGGTTTAGGCTTATGGAATATGAGTTTTTTTGTATTCCAACCAATCACATTTTAAAAGTTCAGGGTGTGATAAGAATAGAGGATCTGAATACTCGAATGAGTCTATGAATATATGGAATGGTTGAATGGAGTTTGAAAATTAGGGCTTTAGTCAAAATATTTTAAGCAAAATGCAGTGTCCCATGTCCACCGTGTCTCGCCGTATCGCCAAAAAAAATGTGTCATACACGAATGCACTCAAGAGAAGCAAATGTCCATGTCTACGCCACCTAAAATGGCACACCCATGCTTCATATCCAACCATACAAATTTTTGAACTTGAGTGCAACATGTCATACTGGACCTCGCTATTGCTTTGCCCCATGGGGCTGAAAAAACTAAGATAGTATCCAAAAGCAAATGAGCCATGCAAATTCAGTGCCAATTGCAAATATCTTGCTAAGGGACTTTCTTTTTATTGATACGGTTAGATTGCAATTGAAAAACTTCTGATTTTGTCCATAATTTAAAGTTTTAGCGCAAAAATTTAAAAATACAATTAATGCATTAGAATTATTTTTGAATTAGTATGTTTCAATTACATACACGTAAGTTGATTTTACATACAAAGATAAATTGAGATCTAACCAAAATTTAAAAGATATATCCCATACATATTCTTATGAATTAGGAAAAAGAGATACTGTATTCAAGAACATGATTTTACTATATTTCATGATCCGACCTGAGCTTTCAATTTTGAACTACTTGTGCGTGTTTGAGAATGTTATTGGATAGTGAGGAATCATCATTGAGAGAACAAAGTATCATCATATTGGGCCTGCTTCTACAAGTGAACTCAAAAATACAACATACTTAGGTTTGACATCGATGGTTAATAGCATTGATTTTGAATCAATCACTTATTCATGTATACATGTTGTAAGGTGTAGATTCAAACATAGAGTCACAAACCAATCACTATGGTTTCTTTTTGTTTGGATGAGTTATTTGTACCTACCTATGTCATGAATCTCTCATTACCTTTTGACCAAAAAAAATCTCTTATCACCTATTTTTGGTGCACTGAGATTGAATACATTATTATTTCACCATATATAATACATGATATTTATGTCACTATTATTAATTACCATAATAATTATTGACACTTTATCATTGTAAATTATTCTACAATTAGAACTATCTTGTGAGGAAGGCAATATGTCACATTTCAAGAATCAAACCAATATGGATGTAGTTATAAATTAGAATTGTACATATTCTTAAATTTGATTTTTTTTTTTTAAATTTGTCTTCATGGTATAGTATTTCATAATAGGTATGAATTTGTAAAATTTTCTATCTTAGTTGAAAAGTGATTTATGATCATGAAATTTGTAAATATAAGGAAGCGTCTACTAAGTTAAAACAAATTGCCACAAAAACCTCAAATGTGAGAGCTATGATACCAAAATGTATTACCTAATTTTTCAACTATAACTTAACGAAAACTACCATGATAATAAAGAGACAAAACACATGTCTCATAATTTATAACCGAGAGATCCTAAGATTGAAGCCTAACTTTAATACCAAAATATAGCACATAATGTTTCAAATCATAACTTAACAAAAGCATAGTAATGAGAAGGCAAACTATTAATAATAATTACCATAATAGAAAAGCTTTAAATATAATTATGGTAGGAAAAAAACATATTATAGAATGTCTATGATGGTTATAGAAGATTCAACCTAAGTAAGACAGTTATAACCAAAGATTGATGATGATAGAAAAGATTAAATTAATTAATAAAAATACTACCATAGTTATAAAGAATTGAACATGTAACTTCAAATCAATACAAAATCTCAACGATGATTGGTAGAATTGAACCTGATAAATGGACAATTTAAACCACAACAATATGGGCTGGGGCAATAATTGAAACCCAAAGACATGCATATCATATAATAATCCTATAAATCCAATTACAACATAATATCCGAACCATAATTTGTCACATATCAATCATATCAAATAATCCATTTCAAGCATGAATCAACAATATCTGTTCACATGCAATTTACCTTAGGGCACAATTAATAACACTCCCAGACAATAGATACAAAATGATCAATCAAAAGTATCAAAATGCGATGATATCTTAAACTAGCAAAAATACAAAGTCTAAGATAAAAATCAAAAGTTAAGGCTTCACTTCACAATTGAGCACCTCATCTCATGTTGCTTCTCCTTCGCACCCAACAATACCTTGCATGAAAATATTAAACTATAATAACAAAACACATGGTCTTAGTGACTACAATTCAATTTACACAAGCATACAAGGTTGGTTTAGAGTTAGTTAAGTCGGATTAAGAATTCAAATGATAGGACTCAATCACAAAATCATAAATCAAATATAACACAAATATTCTATTATATCCTCTTTATTACTTATGATTGAACCCGTGAGCTATAAATCCTCCTTATTATTTCTTATAGAACCCATGAGTTATAATAACTATAAACAGGATCAGTCCATGTGACTAGGCTTCTCCAAGTACACCAATGCTAAGGTTTAGCTTGCAGAGCTCACCACTAGTCCATGCATTTCCTTTCCTTCAAAATTTTCTAGAGAGGCGTCATATCCTAAGGACTCCTTCTAATCACAGCCAAAGAAAGAAAGAAATGAGGGCCCTAGACATGATCAATCACTAAGCGCCTAGGGATGGCATACCGCGTGGTTTGCATAACATGAGCTTACTCAGTACTCATGTTTATCGTTTGATATAGTTTATTAGTGATAGTTCCTATTCTATGCGGAAACATGACTCTGCTCCATTTTCGGAATTGGGATTCAATTGCTGAACACAGTAAAAATTAGTTGCCCAAAATATGTTACAAATTAAAATTATACACAATTTCACATTTACCCATTACAATTACATCACACTTGCTTTCTTTTCCAAAACCTGATCCGCTTCTTAGAACAAGTTTCAGGTATGGCTCGGAGATGACATTCAACCTCCCGGGGCATTGGTTCTAATACACATAATCGTCCAATTCTTTATATAATAAAAACTAAGAAACAAACATGCTAGAGACATGTAAGCTGTATTGATATTTCTTTACAGATGATACTCCAATCCTAAATATAGAAACTAGAAAACTAATTTATTGTGATTAAAAAATTAATTATTTGTGAAAAGAATGTTCTAATTTACCAAAAATATCCTTTTAATCATTTGCATTGAAACCCATTTTTAATACGTACAATTAATAAAAATAATTTTTAAAAAAATTATAAATTCGGGAGACTGGACCAAAACTTTATACATATAGAACAAAGCATGCCCCTCAATTATTTACACCCATTCACAAATTCTCAAACAGTACATACTGTAATTGGAATGTAATTTTCTTTTTGGCCCATAATGGCAATGCATTTGGAAGAAACAAAACAAAAATGCAGGATTTAACGGCATCAGGAACTAATAAACTACATCAAACGACCAACATAGGTAACTCGTGGATATTTTCTTTGCAACTGAGGCCATTGAACAAAAAGCTGATCGGCCATCCAGAACTTGTACAGGAGCAGACCGCTTAAGGAAAGTCTTCTAACTCTTGCAATACTCTCAACATAGAAAATTGATGACCATCGGATCCCCAGCACCTGTGCAGTGGGTTATCCACACATCAATAACAACTTTATTTATCAGGTAAGTTCTTCAAAAAAAAAAATTAGGAAGATTAATCATTTAATCCTCGTAATTTTGATTTAGTTAATACTTAATCCCTGAAATTTAAATCGTTGTAACTTAATTTTTAAACTTTGAATTAGAATAACTTAAGCCCTATAGTTTTAACAACTTAAAATATTAGTCTCTATATTTTAAAAATAAAATGATAAAGATTAAATTATTTACCTATAATTTTATTTTCTAAAATATAAAGACCAATATTTTAAATTACTAAAATTATAAAGACTGAATTACACTAAGTCCAAATTTAAGGACTGAATTACAACAAAGTCAAAACTAAAAATTAAGTTATAACAAGTCAAAATTCAAAAACTAAATTACAACTGAGTTAAAACTACAAGATTCAAATGATTAATTTTCCGAAACAAATATTGACTGAAAATGAAACTCCTGTGAAAGAAATTATGGGAAAAATTACACAAGGAAAGGCATAAGAACCTTAAATAAGAATGCAATTGCACAGATGGGAATGCAGGTTCCAGGTCCATTGCAAAGAATCTGGATATAACGGCACAGAATTACTAAAATTTTTCCATGACTGCTCTGGCAAAAGGAATCAAGCATATAAAAACAGAAATAGTACCACTTGAGGCCTAATTTTAATCATTAGCCATAATGCATGTATCATTGCAATCAAAGTTGTGCAAATTGAGGTTATATATGATTGACCAACTTCCCTGCTCCGATATATCTGCATGAATTGAGCAGTATCGGGAACCCTGGTTCCATTCTGCAGTGAAACCTACTTTTGATCAGAATCCATAAACTGGTGATATCAAACAAAAATTCCTCTCAACAGGATACGCATGCATCAATGTCAATTGAAGGGAATTTATTGAAGGAATAGCAAAAAGCATACAGAAAATGTCGTTCAACATCCTGTTTTAGGTGGTAATAATTACCACTGAGATTCATAACAGCCAAACTACATGTAACAGATAGCTAGTTCATCCTTGAATACCCACAAGAACAGCTACATGGGACAGAGCAACAACCCTTTGAATCCAGAGACAGCAAGATGACCTTTTAGTAATTATATTTATAATCATAGGTCAAGTGTAATTATCCCACACAAAAAGAAGTTGATGGAACTTAAAGATTCTCGAGCAATTTCATGAAAATGTCACCAAACAAGAAAAAAAAAATTATGGCATTTGATCTCTCAATCTCCTACAGCTACACAACACCTTGAACTGGAGGCATACAGGGTTGGTAACGTAAGCCATAAATAAATTGACACAAGCATGGGAACAAATGGAGAAAAGCTAAAGGAGTTATTTTTGATCGAAAGGCAACTAAAAAACTTAAAAGAAAGTTAACCAATAAACTTAAAAGAAAGTTTTATCAAAATGTTATAAGACCAGCCGTGTTATATAGTAATAAATGTTAAAGCTTTAAAGAGACAACAAGAGTATAAAATTGAAATAGCAAATATGAGAATATTGAGATGGATGAGACTACATACACAAAAAAGAAAATACATCACGAAATGAGCACAACAACAACAAGCCTTTATCCCACTAGGTGGGGTCGGCTACATGGGTTGCAAGACGCCATTGTGCTCTATCATTTACCAAGCTTTTAAAAATATTATTAATTAAGAGATCATGTTCAACAACTTCCAAAAGTGTTCTCTTAGGCCTTTCTCTATCCCTCTTAACAAGGCTCAAAGTTATATGTTCCACTTTTCTCACTAGTGCCTCCCGCGATCTTCTTTATACATGCCCAAATCATCTCAAACAATTTTCTACCATTTGAGAAAAAATAAGTGTGGCATCTGTTATGAGACAATGGAAGAAAATCATTTGAGATGGTTGGACACATACAGAGAAACCATGGGAAGCACCAATAAAGAGAGTGAAACAAATAGCCTTAAGCATTGTAAAGAAGGGCATAGAAAGACAAAGAGAACACTTATGAAAGTTGTAGAATAAGACATCTTAATTAACCCTATTCCTAAAAGTTTGATTGATGATAGAGCACAATGGTGCTATGTAATCCATGTAACCATCTAGTCAGGTAAGCCTTGTTGTTGTTGTAGTAGTAGTATATGGGAACAAATAAAAACGAAAAAAAAAAAAGAAAAAACTGCATGAACTATCCCTCATAATCAACAATCCCAAAGGACAAGGCATCCTTCAAGGTCCATGGGATTGATGCCCCTTTTTAGGTTATAACCCTAATTCTCCAACTCAAAAGAATTTTGTTCAAGATGGATAGAAACAGAATAAATGTAATAGAGTTCATTGGATTTAAGGGCCTTTTCAAACAACCGAAAATAGCACCTCAGCGGCAAGGTTGTTCTCCAGCAACTGAGCTTTTTGAAGACTCATATTATCTGTAGCAGCAGCAATATAGAATCTTGGAGCAAACCTATCTTTCTGTAGCACTACCAGGAGATTAAGCATCTCAGCTGTATGACCACCTACAGTAGCATAAAACTGTAACTAAACTGATAGAATCACCATATATTGCTTCAATATGAATGGAAGAACAGGACAAATGGCATAGCTTCAAACCTGATCCTAGAACAATCAGGGTGCTAAGAGGTTTTGTAGCTCTACGGCTAAATGGTCTACTGCTCCATAATATAACATAAAGGATGCGAACCAAGATCAAAGTAACAACAGTGGTACATGAAAAGGTACTGATGGAAACCATTCCAGAGAAACGGCATCCATGGCCTTTTTCCATCAGAAGAAGCTTCAGGTATTCAATCAACGTTACAATGACATCTCCCCTACAAAATTTTGGGGCAAAATGTGAGGGGAGGAAAAAAAGTTAGTATCATAATTTCAGATTAATTTGTGAGTCAACAGAAACCTCCATTAAAATATACATATGGATGGACACTAATTTAGTAAAATTTTAAATTAATTGCCAACAAATCCAATGATGAATGCATATATAACTGCCATAGATGTGAGAGAGAATGGAAATGCAATGTTAGAACACTTAAATGGATGGACACTAATTTAGTAAAATTTTAAATTAATTGCCAACAAATGCAATGATGAATGCATATATAGCCGCCATAGATGTGAGAGAGAATGGAAATGCAATGTTAGAACACTTACAATGACTGGGAAAAAAAAAAAAAGGCCGCTGATTTTACAAGAGCCAGAGTAGAAGACTAGCTTAAGGAAAAAATGGAGATTCAACACATATAATTTCATTTAGTTTTGTTGTGAACAAGCTAAGACTCAATTCCCGGGACAATATATTTTGATAACAGAATGTAGATAGAAGAACGAATCATGAGTAGGATATCAAATTAAATCAAGGCTTGTGTCAATAAATCAGCATGTGAACTGAGACCAGATAGGCAGATATGGTGTGTCAGCCATGCGGAAGATGGCTAGGGCTCACTCAATGGCAGAGAACAGCATCAATATATTTGCAGAATTACAATAAGGACCATAATTTTATGAAGTTTACAGTTAACATCTTGTTATAACAAGTTGTTACTAAAATTACAAATATATCTCCTCCAACAAAAAGAGCATAAAGTATCAACTAATGTCTTCAGCGATTGTTTGGCCAAAAAATAAAAGTCTTCAGCGATCAAACTAATGGCAGATTTACTAAATGCTTAACTAGCTGTCAATTTGTTATGTTAGATTGAGTAATAAGAGACTCAACATTATTTAAGCAAGTTCTCAAATTGAAGCCATGTGAATGGAGAAAGCCATGTGGGGAGAGTTTTTTCCACAGTTGAGACTCGGGGCCCAAAATGGTTTGAATTTAAATTAATTCATAGTCACAGAAAAATTACAAAAACTATTATCATAGTATCTTTTATTTAATAGGAAAAGTAGATTAATATTTACTTTTCATAATTTGACACAATCAATATCTCCCAAGGACGCAAAATTGCCTCTCTCATAACTTTGCACCATCTGGTGCTTTTCATATGGCTAAACATTTAAATAAATAACAAGACATTCAATTTTATGCTTTGAGCAAGTGATGACCACTGTGAAGCTCATCACTAAACAAATCATTTCAATAATAGGGGAAGGATCTCAGCCATTTGTTTCATTTTAATCCTGAGCATCTATTTGTTCCTCAATTTTCCCCATGTAGAAGTATAAAGTGGAGAAGTGGAAGGAAGGAGCATGTGTGCTTTGGTGCCAATTTTTCTCACCTCCTGAGCTTCAAGTTCGGACATGAGCATTTTGTTCTGGTAAGCTCATTCACGGAGAAGTTGATTCGTTTCTAGTAAGGTCAAGCTCCATGGAGACGGGTCCATTTTCTTCTTATTATTAGTGAAATATGAGATACCTTAGAAAGTTAACTAGACCCAATGTGAATGATGAAGACCGAAATTGGTATTTCCTAATGAAAGGAATAATGTGTGTGTATGTGTAAAATTGAACAAGATGGAATAAACGAAGCAGTGTATATATATATATATAAACTAAAATTAATAATATATATACATGTGGGAAGGAAGGAAGACCGATAGGAAGGAATTATATATATATATATCCTGTTATGTATATATATCCTGAAACATCTATAAGACCCAGACTGCAATTTTTTGATTAAAAGAAGAATACATACATACATATATATATATATATATATATTCATATAACAACAGTATATAAGGGAAGAAGTTTGCTCGCTCTGGAGACTATACATATAAATATATATCAAAGCTGATATCTCCCTCCCTCCCTCTCCCTCTCTCTCTACACACACACACACACACACGGAAGGAACAGTAGATAATTGATTTTTTTTATAAAAACATGTACTGAAACTGATATATATGGGTTATTTGAAGAAACTGATATCTAATGTTCGAGGAATATAAAAATGCTTTTATCACAATGTCTTATGTTTTGGAAAATATATTTTTTTCATACAAATATATAATGTTTTTATTCTATACAGGTACAGTACAAGTGGAGGATGAAGTTGAACCCAAAATAGAGAGTGAATTTGAAAGTTTGGATGAGGCAAGGGAGTTTTGGAGAGAATATGGTAAAAGAATTAGGTTTAGACTTTAGAGTTAGAAATGGTACTTCTACAAAGAGTGGAAGAGACAGGTCCATTACTATTATTGGAATGGCAATAGAATTGGGTTTGAATTAACTTGAAAATGGAGACAGAAATTAAAGGAACAGACCATAGTAATGAATACGTTTAAGGAGTGCTCCAACATACTAATTCCTTGGGAATATTAATCTGGAGTAATTTAGAAAAAGGCTTGCTAGGTTTAACAAAAATGAAAGGGTGCAATACATATCACAGTCCCATAAATCTACTTGAAGTTCATGTAGCACGTCAAGCTTTTGATCTAAATGGAACATGCAATGAAGTGTGATTTAATCAAGTGGTTCTGTGAACCTTATCCATTAAGAGAACTTGAGAAATGATTAAGGATTTATTAGCATTTGAAACAATTTATAAGTAGTTCACACTCATTCTTTTGGTCCAGGAGCTTATTCTAGGCAGAAGACTTTTTCACCTTGCATTTGTTTACTTTTTTCTTTGTGCGGTGAAAGTAAAAAAAATAAATAAATAAAATAAAGTAAGGTTTCCATCCCTCGATAGATATCAACGAACTGTCGTGCTATCACGAGAACTTACGAGCCAAATCATTTCAAGTCCTGCTGTCGATGTTTTTTTAAATTTTTGTGGCGAATCTGGACATCCATATCTGTAAGCTTTCACTAATTTGGTATTTATCATTTAAGCCCACTTTTAAACATTACATATCTAGAATTCCATCTAGTGGGACTATCTGCTCTTTAAGCCGATTGATATGTCAACACCCCAACTTGTTCAGAACAGTAAGATATAGTCACAAATCAAAAGTTGCTAAATTGCTATGGTCCTGCTATCTATTAACAAATCAAAAATGATAAATTCACAGATTTACAAATCACAAATTCATAGATAAAAAATTCACACATTCACTGTCGGATTGGAGAAACAACCTTTGGAGAAAATCCCAACAAAAAAATAGAGAATGAATTTGTTACATACCAACGTAGATGACGAAGAGGGAGCCGACGAGTGGAGGAAAGGGAGATGAAGTGAACCTAGTCGAGCGGCGACAGCGAGTAGAGCTGTGTGAGGTTTGCAAGCGGAAGATTCCAGAGAGGCGCTCGTGACAGTGAACACCGCGGCGCGACTAAGCCTGAGAAGAGAAGATCTCGAAAAGTTGGGGCAGAGGCGTGATCACTCGTGTTCGTGTGTGGGGATTTTGGTTCGAGATCGAGGCGAGCCAGATTCGAATTGAGGCAGCGAGATCGAGCACTGAGTAGACTTCACGTGTTCGCGACAAGCCAGAGCAGACACACCCCCGAAATTGGGATGGGAAGAAAAAGCTAAAAGAAAAATATTGCCCGTACAAAGTTGTTAAACTCATAACTTTAAATAAATTCATAATAAAAATATAAATTTATATCACAAATTTAAATAATAAATTTATAAAAATTTATTTCTATTAATAAATAATCATTAAAATATAACTATAATTTAATTTAAATATATTAAAAATATAAATTATTAAAATTAAATTTGTCTATATTGATAAATTATCATATATCAAACATAAAAATTTTAAAATAAAAAAACTTATTTTTATTGTTTTTTTATTAATATTAATTTTTTGCATTTCAAATTTTTTTTGAACTAGATTATATAATTTTTATGAACTTGACTTTTTCATCGTATATACTTAACTCCTTTAACTTAAAAAAAAAATTGATAAGCTTAATAAGTTTAACTAAATTTGTATTTAATTTAAGTTTTCAAGTTAGTTGATATGATTTTATAAATTAGAAACATAAAAAACGTTAAACTCAAAGATAAACTTGTGAGTTTAACTGAATTTATATCTAATATGAGTTTATGAGTAAATTAACATAATTTTATAAGTTAAAAATATAAAAATTTTAAACTCATAGGGTCAATTCAAAAGTTTAACAACTATGGTTTGAAAAACCTGAAAAGTTTTTATATCACAAAAAAATAAAAAATAAATAAATAATATGAAATTTTCCTGAACTTATTTAGAAATTAAAAAAACATAATTATTTTTAATATTTAATAATTTAATTGGTTGTTATTGATTATGTATAGTTAGTTATCAAAATCAAATAGATACTTATTTGTATAGGATCAACATTTATGTAATTAAATATGCGTTATCCATTACAGTCACCTATTAATTTTGAATAGATTGTTATTAATTATGTAAATTTATTTTTCAAAACCCAAATGAATTTTTATTTATGTAAAAATAACACTTGTACAATTAAACTTGTGATATAAATTTTTGCAACTTGTTCATTTCCAAATGAGCTATTATTAATTATCTATAGTTACATGTCAAAATTGGAATCAATGCTTATTTATACATCTATAAAATATTAGTGGTAATTACGTATTTTTTTAAAAAAAATCTTATTTTCAAATAAGTATTTGGGTGTCGTGAGATTTCATATTTAAAGGTCCTTCTTAATATAAAAACACTTCGGGAGTCCTTAGATGATATTGTCTCTTTTATTACCATGTTATGAAATTATGAAGGTAGACAAATCTTTTTAACTAAAATAAGCAAGATTTTACCTTATTTAGTTTTAATTTATTTTTTTTATTTTTTCTTGATATTTGTGTTATTATCAAGATTGTCAAACTCACAAGTTTAAATAAATTTATAACCAAGATGTAAACTCTAATTGTAAACATGTATAATTTACCTCCATTAAAAAATAATCATTAAAAGTATATGATTAAATAATTAAAATATACAATATGATCATAATTTAATTTAAATATATTTTAAATATAAATTATTGAAATTAAATACATCTATATTGATATATTATTATAGTCAATATAAAAATTTTAAAATAGGGCAACTTATGGCTTGTTTGTTTTTTATTTTAAAAAAATGCTTTTTTCCAAAATAGAAAAATTTCAAAAATTTCTTTTCTATAAGTGTTTTTCATTTACTTGTTTCTAAAATTGTTTTCATTTTTTTAAAAAAATATAAACAACTTCAAGTTGTTTTGATTTTTTTAAAAAATATATTATATTTAATTATTAAAAATTATAGCTACTTTAACTAATTTCTATCATTAATCATTATCACTACTTACATATAATCATCACTATCAATCAATTTTTTAATTTTAAAATTATTTTTTTAATTGACATGACCAAACAAATTTTTATTTTATTTTGTTTTAGAAAACAATTTTGAAAACTATATAACAAAACAGTTTTTAAAGATAAAAAATGAGAACAAAAACTAAACATGCCCTTATTTTTGGCATTTATTTTTTTTATTAATATTAAATATTTTTTTACTTGAAGCAGGTCATCCCACTTTTGTGATCAAGTTCTACATAATATATACTTAACTCATTCAAGTTGGTAAAAAATTAATGAGCTTTGCAATTTTAGTTAAGTTTGCATATAGTTTAAATTTATAAATAAATTGATATGATTTTGTAAGTTAAGAAATGTAAAAACAACAAACTTGAGAAGTTTGACAACAATAATTATCACTTACTATATTATTTTTTTATTTTGAATAATTGCTCCAATTATAAAATGTTATTGTTAGATCTGTTAAAGAAATTTCTATTAAAAAAACCATGAAAGCAATTTAATAAAAACAGTAACCAAAAATTATGAAATATCACTGTAGAATTAGGGGACTGATTTGAAAATAACTTTAAATAAAAAGACTATAATATCCTTGCTTTTCTTTTAAAAAAGTTGTTAACTAGTGAATAGTTTTTTATTAAATACAAATAGGTACTTGTTAATTAATAAATGGCTACTTGTTGAAACATAATTTACGCTTGTCCCATCCCACAATCAAGTTCTTTCAAATTTTTTAACTTGTCGATTAGCAAATAGCTTCTTGTTAAATGTAAATGAGTACTTGTAAATTAAATAATGACTACTTTTTGAAAAATTAAATATACTTATCCTTTCTCACAATTAAGTTCTTTTAAATTCTTAAACTTGTTAACTAGTGAATAGTCTCTTGCTAAATGTGAATAAGTGCTTTTTAATTAACAAATGGCTAATTATTGAAATATGATCCACATTTGTTCTTTCCTACAACCAAATTTTTTCATATTTTTAAATTTATCAATTAGCAAATGACTTTCTATTAAATGCAAATGGCTACTTATCAATTGAAAAAGAAAGAAAAGGGTATTATAATCTTTTTAATCTAAATTATTTTCAAATCATTCTCCTGATCCTGCAATGATATTTTAAAATGTTTTGAATTTTTGATCATTGATTGATATTAAATACCCTAAATGATTCTTGAATGATATTTTTTTCAAAAAATATCACCATATATTTGTACTCTTCACTATGCATAGTTAAATAAATGCACATCAACAATAGAATATGGACAATGGAGTATATATTTCTATGAATAATTTGAATCTAACCTAATAAGTGATAAAACATCAGACAAAAAAGTATGAAAGTTGAGACGTTCTAGATCTCTGCAGATTGGATTAACTATATATTTACCGTCCATTAACTATGAATTTTTTATTTGTAAAATTTAAATGCATAACAAATTTAATTAACTCAAAAATAAGTATTCACTACAAAAAAGCAGCGAATTAGCGATGGAATAAATTTTCATCACTAATCCATCACTAATTCCATTGCTAATTTAGTGACGGAATGTTCTTGCTAAAATTTTATTATTATTCTGTCGCTAATCTATCGAAAATAATTTATTGATGGAAAATTTTGTTACTAATAATTATGATATCTTATTCCAATTCAGTGACAGAATTTGTGATGAAAAATTCTGTTACAAAGCTTTATATCATAATTTCATCGCTAACTTTGTCACAAATTATTTTTAGTTTAATTTTATTATTTATAATATATATTTATATATAATTTATTAATAATTTATTATTATACTATAAATAAATAATTTAATGATTATAATTTTAAAATAATTTATTATTTTAAATTATTTGTATATTATTAATAATAATTTAAATTGTATACTTAATCATTCTTATTTAAAAATAAAAATAAAATAAAAATTTAAAATATTATATATTATATAGATACAAATTATAATAAAATATATAATGATAATAAAATATTTTTCAATTTAATATTAAATTTATTATCAAAAATAATTTTTTTAATAAAATATAATAGAAATAATTATTATATATAAATTAATTTTGCCATATTAATAAATAAATATAATGTTAAAAAATAAGTAAATTTAAATCCTATATTTAATAATAATTTAAACAATATATTTATTAATTTATGTGTGTGTGGTTAAGTATTATACATTTAATTTAATAAATTAAGACTAAAGATTCCTTTCATCTCAACTGGCAACAAGGTGGATGCAAAGGTACTAGGGAGTATAAGGTTGCAAATTCGAACCTAACCAAGGCACAATTAAAGATGACAGTGACATAGCGGTGAGGTAGCACTAGTCCACTAGGTGACATGGCATTGAGATGGCATTGGTCCACTGGGTGACATGACAATGATATTTTGGATGGTTATATGTTAATTAATTGTTAAATGCGAATTATGAATGTGACATGCATGGAATTGATTTTCAATGTGAAACTATGTGTTAGTTTCAATGAGTGTATAAAAATTTGAATGTGCATAATGCTATTTTTGGCTTGAAATGCAAAATGCAAAGTCAAGAGGGTTTTCGAACTATGAACATGCTTATGCTTTTGGAAAATGAATGTGATGTTATGTATAGGTAAACATGTACTAATGAGAAGTGGATTTTAAGATAAGTGAGAATAATGTTGAAAAAATGATGAGAATGCATGCTTGGGTAGCACACAGTCGTGAGCCCAACGTGATTGTTGTGATAATGAGTAAAAGAAACGAGTGAGTATTGATTATGGCATGATCAGTGGTAGGAGTTTGCCTAGGGACTGGGAGTAAAGAAAATCCATATGATATTTAGACTACCCTCTAGTGCACAGGGATATAACCTTGTCTTACAGTTTGTTGAAGGACTATCTCATAGTTTGTTGAGGGATTAGAACCTACCTATCTCCACCGGTTCAATGAAGAGAACAACCTAGGGTATAAGACACCCCAGAGATTCGAGAATGGGAGAAGCTATGATCCAAGAATGAGTCATGTGATCTTTGACCGGGTCACACCTCACAATTAGTGAGCTTGGATAGTCAATCACATGGACGGAGCTCTAATCAGTGTTATAACCCATGATTTTGGTTTGAGGAAATAAGGAGATATAAGAGTGGTTGATCATTGCCTAAATAAGTATATGACGTGTCACACGTGTGAGTTGTGGCAAGTCACATGAAGAATGAGTCACGGTCACATATCTAAGAATATGGTAACAATGTACCTAATATATATGAGATAAAGAAGCTATTAAATTATAAATTGATAAGTTATGGTATGTATGAGTATGTTTTAAGTGCTTGGTTTCATATGCATGTGTTTGGCATATAATTGATATATAACTGCATAAGATAGGTTTTACCTTGATTACTGAGTGGCTAGACTCACCCTATTCATTTAATATTTTTCAGGCTTTAGCTCTAGTGCTGAGAGGGAGAAAACTTAGGAGGCTAGGAATTAGCAAATTCCTACTGTATGCCTCTAGTTTAAATTTATTTGTGTAATAGTATGTGTTTGCCAATTCTAGATTGCATGCCACTACACTTGCATTATTTTGTTGTTAAAAATGTATTATTTATATTTAGGGCCCTAAGTACTTGTGTATGATATATATATATATATATATACACACACACACACACACACACTTGTTTATAGGGCTATAATACTAGTACAAGTATAGAAATGGATATTTGAACATGTTTTGATTGATTCGGGTGCAATGTAATGCCATTTTGCCTCCTCCTCTGTTTTTGGTAAAAAAGAGTTAAGGAGTGAATTTGTGTTATAATGTGGTTTAAGTATGGGTGATGTATTGTACTGATAGTTCTAAGTTCAATAAACATGGTCCAAGTATTACGAAAGGCTTTTGGCACAAATTGAGGGTTTTGGACACCCATTTTGAGTAAAAGTTGTGAAAAGTGGTTAAAATATATTTGGGTGTCTAACTTCCTGATGTGACTTGTTTTGGAAGTGAAATTCATGCCATTAGCTAGTTCATGTAAAGTGTTTTCCGTAGACACCTAGATCACATCATTCAGACGTCGGACAAAGAATCAAGACGTGTCGAAAGTTCCCCACTTCAGCTGTCAAATGACACCAGAATTTGTTAATTTTTCACGCAACACGCCGCGACGTAGTGTGTACAAGCCATAGCATGTTGCTCTGTCACACATTAAAAGAGTTGTTTTTCACTTGTTTTTAACTTCTATCACTCCTCTGAAATATTCCATGCTTCCGAAACTTGTTTATACTCTGATATAAAAGATTTTGATTGATTTAAACTTTTTATTATTTAAAAACCTTGAGATCCCTTGAATTTTTTGACTAAAGCTTGGTAATCATTTTTATGTATTAATCTTTTAATTATCATGAGTTTTAATGTTAATTATAGTTAGTGAAGTGAAATTTTCTACATAATCCCAAACTTTCATGTATTTGGAAAGAGATAATATGATAACTGTTGTTCAAAGGAGTGATTTTAATAGCACCTTGAGGTTTCCACATTCAGTTTAATCTGATTTCTAGGTTGCTTTTTTCAATAGGATCCCCTAACAATTAAACTATAAGGAAATTCATCCAAGGTTTGCACCAGTTTATATATTCGTCTTAAGTAAACTAGAGTTTTGGAATACTCCCCTTGTTTCCATTATCGATATTCGATACCACCCTCCTCCAACTCCTTATAGGCACGTTCACATTCAACAGTCTCATTATTCTTATAAAAATATAATTTCTAGCCCTAAATGATATCATCGTCTTCATCATGCTTCATAAGGTAGCAAGGTATGCTCAAAGATAGCAGTTTATCTTTGAAAGAGGCTAGCACAGGTCTCCTGTGTCCCCCCCATCTCTTCTTTCTCCTTATCTTTCCATTTTGATTTCTCTCCCTCCGTTCCTCCTGAGAAGACTGGATCTTGCTTGTTCAGAGTCAAACCTGTGCCTACCTTATCATGTTCCTTACCCCCACCACAATCTCCTTCACGTTCCTCCGTTGCACTATCGCTTACAACGTTTCTCTCCATAATGCCTGATCAAATTCTTTTACATTCTTTGACACCTTTTTTTGTAGAATTTAAAATGAGAATTCGTCTCACACACCAAATTTTCCTTCTCCATATTTGTAATTTCCATGATTTAAGAAATAATTAATAATCAAAACGTGTAAGAGCTGTTAACAAAATCTGGACATACAGTCTTCTTTTTTTTAAAAAAAAAGATAAGAAAATAAATAAATATCCTCCCACTCAAATAATGGACTCTTGCCCTAGACTACTAGAGATTAGAGAGTATGAATTCCACAGGGTGTCATATCTCTTTCGCCCTTTTTAGAGCAGTGATAGTTTCTTAGTCTTTATATCTACCACCCCTCAGGTGACATTATCATGTAAAATTCTCCTTGATACTTAACACAAATTCCTCTGATATTTGACAGACAAAAGCTAATATAGTCAATTATTTGGATCTGCATAGCAAATTAGAATTCAGGTTTCCTTCTTCTGGTTTAATTGGAGAAAAAGATGAATCAGAAATCCATCTTCTTAGGTAAAAGGGGGAAAATGGTTGGTTCTTGCTTTAAGACTCGGGAGGACTAAAATCTCTCTCGTGCCAAACATTATCATAACGTCTGACATGGTGGGCTACCACTTCCATCATTTGGTATATAAGTATGCGCAGCTAATAAGGTGATTTATCTTATTGCAAAATTTTATGCCACTCTGGCACTTTCTAGTCTCTAGTACTTGTCCACTTAGATGAAGGCACCTACATAACCTAGTCTACTAGAATATCACTCGGATTTATTGAATATGGTGATCAATGCACCCACTTAGATCAAAGTATTTCCCTCATTTCACTTTGAAAATCATCAATATAATCACAAATTGCATTAGATTACATGAGAAATTTAATAGAGATAAATAGTGTTCTGAAAAGTAATTAGAAGAATAATGAAAAGCAAATATAATACGTTCCTTGAATATATATATATATATATATCTATCAGTGTGTGTGTGTGTGTGTTTATATCTGTAGCGCTTCAAATAGTCACTTTCTTACAAGAGCAGATATACAATAAATTTAATGAAAAGTTGCTTTTAGGTTTTCCAATAGGATTCAATCCAATGTGCATCGAACTCATCATGCACTACCGACCCTCTTGATAGGAAATATCAGTTAGAAGAATTCCTTCAGGTTTACTGGAAGAAGAAGCAGAGCTAGAAAGGCCCCTAGCATTGGTCATAAAAAAGGTTGGTTGCTTTGGATTTGGGAGGCTTGCAATCTCACTTTCAAGCATTATCAGTACCTGTGACATGGTGGGCCTGTCTCCTGGTTCATCTTGTACGCACAATAGACTAACTTGTGCACACTTAATAAATTGGTTTGCATTGCAACTTTCACTTAGAGATCGATCCATCAAATCCACCAAGTTATTCTCTGTCCATAGCCTCCATGCCTGCATATTCATTCACATAAACAGTGAATCACCATAATGCAAAAGAACATTAAACCAAGAGAGGGACAAGATGAAACATACATAACCCAGAAGGCTGGAAGCTTGTTTGGATTGAAAAAATCCTGTGTTCTTTCTTCCACTAATAATTTCAAGCATTACTATGCCAAAACTGAAAACATCTGATTTAATCGAGAAAAATCCATCTAATGCATATTCTGGAGCCATATATCCACTACAAAATGTAAAAAAAAAAACAAAATCATAATGTTTCTTGTAAATATGGTTGAAGATTAATATTCAATAAGGTAAAGACTCGTCAAGCTTACTAAGTTCCAACTACTCTCTCAGTGTTAGCCTCGGTCTCCTTGCCACCAAATATTTTTGCAAGTCCAAAGTCTGAAATTTTTGGTTGCATATCTTCATCTAGAAGAATATTACTTGTTTTCAAATCTCTATGAACCACCCTCAACCTAGAGTCTTGGTGAAGATATAACATCCCTCTAGCAACTCCTAGAATTATGTCAAATCGCATTGGCCAATCCAAAATCACTCTTTGTGTACGATCTGCACCAACATTTACTTTTCTTTAATTTCATCAAACCTGTGTCATGCTTGAAAGTACAGAGAATTAAGCCTTGTAACTTACCAAATAAGAATGTGTCTAAGCTCTTGTTTGGCATGTATTCATAAAGTAATATCTTTTCATCTCCAGTTATGCAATAGCCTTGAAGTTTGACAAGGTTTCGATGTTGAAGTTTGGATATCAAAACAACTTCATTCTTGAATTCCTTCAATCCTTGTGAAGAAACACTTGAAAGCCTCTTTACTGCAATATCTTGACCACCTGGAAGCTTTCCCTGTAACAAATATTCTCCATACAGCATGTCTCTAAAGTTTAAAAATCAATTAAGAAAGTGGAGCTGAATCAATCACCTTGTAGACAGGTCCATAACCCCCCCGTCCAAGCTTGTTCACATCTGAGAAATTATCTGTAGCTAATAGGATGCTATTAAAATCCAAATAAGATACCTCCATCCCTTCATTGTCTTTTTCCTCTGATCTCTCAGCGTCTATCAAATCTTTGAGATATCTCTCACTGTCATGTAAGCTATCTCTTGTTCTTTGAGTTTTTCCCTTTTCTGAACACGCATAATAGATGCAAACATAAACACAAAACACAAACACGGGCTTATAACATGATGAAATTTAAGATGTCCAATTATAATCTTAAGCGTCAGATTGTGTTGAACGCTTAGACGTCTGTAAGTAAAAAAAAAAAAAGGTTATTACCTTGCTCAAAGGCTAATTTTCTTCTCCAAAAATAAGCAGAAGTAATAATGCAGGCAAATAAAATCAAGCTTGAAAATGTCACAGCAAGTATCAAAGTTTTATTGTTTCTTCTTGGAGATTCTGTTGGCAAAGGAAATGTATTAGCTTCTGCACAAGAGATTGAGGAATGCCATTGAAACTGTAAAATCAACCTGCACTTTATCAGTGGACTCTAATAATAATAATAATAATAATAATAATAATAATTTCTTGAGCACTTTGGAGTGTAGAGAATTAGTATATATTTAAGCCTCACAGCAATCTGAGCATAGAAGGGTTAGCCTAACTGCTTTCAGTTACGGCTTGTCAGGAGTAGTTAAACTTCCATTTTTCTATCTATTACACTTGGTTATATTGAAGATTGATGAAAATACCATCAAATCATTCTTCTATATTATTAATATTATTAAGATGTTCAAATGTGAGTGGACTTGAATTGATATGGAATGTTTCACATTATATGAAATTGAGTTTAATAACTAATACATAATAAAATAAAATGATTTATAAACTTGAGTTTAAAGGTTTCAAGCTAAAATGGTGCATTGGATTCCCAAATATATGAGTTGAGGGTTACCATAAGAGTATTATTTCTTTGTTACTTCTATATCATCTAGGGGTGATCCATACCCAGTAAATTAACTGAATGGTTATTGCGGTCTCAAAGCTAAAACAGAGAAATTCAGTATCCTTACCGAGTACGTACCAATCAATTTGGCTCAAACTAAGTTCAGGAATAATCATGAAAGAATCCCAATACCAATGACAAGAGAGAAGGTTATTCTTATCCGTCCGCAAGGAATTCAAATATCAATTTTTGGCAAGTAATGTTGCCTCATACTGAACGCTTCTTCGCTTGTTAATTCCTATTCAAGCTAAGTTAGCATCCAAATCTGTTTCAGGGCTTCAATACACTTGGAGAGCTGTCAGGTTTAGTATATATTGGCTCTCTAACATGGAGAATTTAGGACAAAATAGAATAATGTGTTAATACCTTTACCTTGTGTACAGCTTAAATTGAGGCCATTCCATTGATAGTTTTTATCGCAGAGGCATCTTCCATTTGCATTTCTGGTTACATTGCAAGTTGAATGAGGCCAGTTCTTGCAGTCTATAGAGTTATTACAAGGAGGTTCATTTGGGGGAACCCAATCAATATTTAGCATCTTGACTTCTTCATCATCATTGCACTGTTGAGTTGCACTGAATGGCAGAGCAACCCGATGCCCCAGATCGTTTGCAGCGCAATCATACGAATCACTGATTTGAATAGAAAAGGATCTCTTGTCTGGATCAATATTAGTTACTCTAAAACTCTCGTTTCCAACAATGAAGTGAACCTGCCCGGTTGGCAAGTCGCATTTGAAATTGGAGTAAATAGGATCACCACAACTTGGATCAGTGCTCAGCGGATAAGGAATCGCGTATGCACCGCATGGTTTGCACGTTCTTGCAGTTGGTTCTGTACCAATTTCATATTAGACAATCTAAGACAATATTGATTAATTAAAGTAAGCATTCTATTTGCAGAGATGAGATGGTAAAAATAAATGATGTACCTATATCTGGTATGTTTACCAGGACAGAAAGATTAAAGCCGAGATCAAACCCTTCTTGAACAGTAGGTAAATCAGAAGTCCAAATGAAACACGTGAAGAAACTACTACGAGAGACATTTCTCAATGCATCATATGAGTAAGCGGTGCAAGAGGGGCACCCATTGAGGCACTTGGATCGGCACTCTGTTTCATTTGCTGCGATGACTTGTTTGTCTGGTTTTCTCACTTTCACCTTCTTCAAGTCGATGAATTTTGTGTTTTGCCCGCAAGATTTTGTTTTTTGGAAACACCCTCCAGACTCAGAGGACGGAATCTGATTCTCCCCCCGCGACTTAAATCCGGGCAAACATCTACAGAACGGCGAATTATTCATATTGCAACTGCCGAAGTTCCCACAGACGTTATATCTATTGCATTTTTCAGCTGGCTCGTGCCATGGGGACAACCATCCTCCAACTCCGATATTATCCCACTGCCAAAGCTGTACCGCTCCTGTATAATTCATCACTAGCCTTGCATACCCAAAATCAGAAGGAACTGTCCATGCTGACATGTTTTTGCTTTTATAAGTAGTAGGTCTTAGGGTGAAGTTTGTCAACAGCGAAATTATTTTTCCTTCGGCGCCGAAATCTTGGCGTGTTTCGCCTGCCCAGTAAAGCTGGGTTTGGTTTGTGTAGATTGAATAGAGGCTTTCCCCTGTTTTTCCCATTGCAAACGAGAATTTGCCAGTCCCGGGATCATTAGTGGCTCTCCAAGAAGTCAAGACTAAATCTTTATACATTCTCATGCCCACCAGAAATGTGTCCGTAGGGTGTTCGAAGCTTTGCCAGTAGGTCACTTGTAATTGATCGTCTCCTAGAAGCAAATTCCCAGTATCCATAAGCTTCACAGTCAGGTTTGCGAGAGAAGATATTTGTTCAGGTCTGTAAGACCAATAAGGTTTTCCGTCTGTATCTAACACTGTGAGATTTCCATCTTGGGATATTTGAAAAATCCCAGATGTCGAATCAGGGATGGGGTTGTCTCTGTTAGCAACCCAGACAACTGTTTGTGGTTCTTTCCCATGATACCATATTCCTAGGTATCTGTTTTTGCTCCCAGGAGGGGAAAAGAAACCCAGTTCAAAGTGTTCTCTATCTGAAATGAGATTGGAATAATCATTTTCACTGTCTAATAGCCTTCCACCCATCTTCAAAGTATCGCCGGCTAAGCAGGGAGGAGGAAGACATAGTAAAAAAATATGAAGCAGAAAAACAGCTATCATGTCAGGACGTAAGAGACGATAAAGGATTATTCTCATTCAGATCCTTCTTCTGGCTTCTGCGGCAAGTAACTACATTCAAAGCAAACTATGCGCGCGCATGCGAGGGCACACAGAAACAGATCGAAACCCAAAATTGGTACGCCACTTATAAAAAGTTTTCTGCAGTGTGAAGAGGATTCAATTGCTAGCATGCAAGTCAAGGTCGTCGTCTCGTTTACTTATGAGAGAAAAAGAAAAAGGATTTTCTCTTTTTGGACATACTTTCATTTTTATATAATTTTTTTAATTTTTTTTAGAGATATTTTATAATTTATTAAAATGACTATAACAAAGTCAAAGTCGTCGTCTGGCCTTTTGCTAGCCTCCATTCCATCCTCCAGTTGTTCTTTTTACTTTTCTCCTCGGGAAACTCGTGGGCGTTATGACTGTTCGATGATTTGCTTTTCTGATCGCTTGATCATAATGTAATCATACTCTCAATTGGTGATAAGAGAATATCTTTCCAATCTAAAATATAAATAATCTTTTTTTAAAAAAAATTATAGATCAATAAAATTTTTATTTTTATAAAAATATATATTATTTTTTATTTTAAAAGAATAACATAAAGGTCTTAAAAAAATTAATTAATTTATATTAAGTCTTAAGTGCCAAATTTCATGAATTTTGTAATTTAAATATGATGAATTTGTAATTTATATTTTAAATTTTAATAGAAAAAATAAACTTGTTTATTGTTCAATAATGTTAAAATTTAAAAAATAAATTATAAATTTATCACAACAAAATTACAAAATTAAAAATCAAACTTACAAATTTTTAAAGCTTGACACTTAAAATTTAGATTAAATTAATTAATTTTTTTGAGATTTCTATGTCATTTTTCTTTCTATGTTTACCATTAATCTCAATTATTTATATATTTCATGATGGATGAGATAAATTTATGCAAATATTTATGTTAATATATATAAGGGTTTAGATTAATCCAAGCCCTCATGGCCCAAAAAAAAAATATTAATGCAAGCCCTTTTTTCCTAGCTAAAAAGGCCCAGCTCATATGTGATGGGGCCTAAAAATTCTTTTCTTTTTTTTTTTTCCAAAACTAATATTTTATCAAGTCTAGGTATCAGCCATTCAAAAGTTGTTTTTTAATTAAGTTTGTCATTATAATACTATACATTTATGCTCTAAACTACAAATTAGATCGTTCTAAAATTTTGAAACAAGTAATACGGTCATAATTTTAAAGTATAAATACATATATTATATTTTAAATTTAATCCAAAATATAAAATATCATAATTTTTCATGATTAAAATAAATATTCCCTCCGAATTTTTTTTATAAATCACCTTCTAGAAAGTTTTATTGATCCTTTATATAAATTATTTTCTCTTAGTTTTTGTAATATTTTATTTACAATTCTAAAACCACCCTCTAACAAATTCTTAAAAAAAGTGTAATATTTCAATTTTAAAAAAAAACTTTTTTCACACATTAATTTACTCTTTTTCTAATGTAGTGACAAAATTAAAAAGTGAATTATTTTTGAAACAATTTTATTATTCTAATGTAATCTCAAGCACATGATCGCTTGAAAGTTTGTAAGCAAATATATATATATATATATATAACCTTGTTTAAAGGCTATTTTTCTTCTCCAAAAATAAGCAGAAGTAATAATGCAGGCATTGAAATGTCGAGGCAAATATCAAAGTTTTAGAGTTGTTTCTTCTTGGAGACTCTGTTGACAAAGGAAATGTATTAGCTTCTGCACCAGAGATTGAGGAATGCCATTGAAATTGTAAAATCAATCTGCACTTTATTTGTGGGCACTAAAAATAATGATAATAATTTCTCGAGCATTTTTGCAGTGTGGAGAGGATGCAATTGCTAGCATGCAAGTCAAGTCCGTCGTCTCGTTTAATTATGAGAGAAAAAGAAAAGGAGTTTTTTTTTTTAGAGGCATAATTTCATTTTTATATAATTTTTTTCAAATTTCTTGAGAGATGTTTTATTATTTATTGAAATGACTATAACAAAGTCAAAGTCGTCGTCTGGCCTTTTGCTAGCCTCCATTTCATCCTCCAGTTGTTCCTTTTACTTTTCTCCGCCGGGACTCGTGGTCGTTATAACTGCTCGATGATTTGCTCATCTGATCGCCTCTCATAATGTAATCATACTCTGAATTGATGATAAGAAAATATCTTTTCAATCTAAAATACAAATAATCTTTTTAAAAAAATTATAAATAAATAAAATTTTTATTTTTATAAAAATATATATTATTTTTTATTTCGAGAGAATGACAAAGAGATTACAAAAAAATTATTTAATTTAATTTAGATTTTAAGTATCAAACTCTAAAAATTTACAAATTCGGTTTTTAATTTTGTTATTTCTTTGAGATAAATTTATAACTTGTATTTTAAATTTTAATAGAAAAAAATTATTTAGTATATTCAATAATGTTAAAATTTAAAAAATAAATTATAAATTTATTACAATAAAATTACGAAATTAAGAATTGAACTTACAAAGTTTTGGAGTTTGACTTAAAATCTAGGTTAAATTAATTAATCTTTTTGGGGCTTCTATGTCATTTTCCCTTCTATGTTTATTATTAATCTTAATTATTAATGTATTTTATGAGGGTGAGATGAATGTATACAAATATTTATGTTAATAAATATAAAGATCTAGATTAATCCAATCCCTTTTTTCCTAGCTTAAAAAAAAATAGTCCGGCCCAACTCTTATGTGTTGGGGCCTAGAAATAGTGTTTTTTTAATAAAAAATATTTTTTTTTAAATCTAGTTATCGCCGATTCAAAAGTTTTTTTTTAATTAAGTTTGCCATTATAATACTATACATTTATGCTCTAAACTACAAATTAAATCGTTCTAAAATTTTGAAACAAATAATACAATCATAATTTTAAAGTACAAACTATAAATATATATTTTAAAATTTAAATTCAATCCAAAAATATAAAATATCATAATTTGCCATGATTAAAATAAATATTCCCTCCAGATTTTTTTTAATAAATCACCTTTTAGAAATTTTTATTGATCCTTTATATAAATTATTTTCTCTTGGTGTTTGCAATCTTTTATGTACAACTCTAAAACTATCCTTTAGCAAATTCTAAAAAGAAGTGTAATATTTTAATTTTTAAAAAAACTCTTTTTACACATTAATTTACTCTTTTTCTAATGTAGAGAAAAAATTAAAAACTGATTTATTTTTAAAATAATTTTATTATTCTAATGTAATCTCAAGCAGGATCGCTTGAAAGTTTGTGAGCAAATATATATATATATATATATATATAAAATCTTGCTCAAAGGCTATTTTTCTTCTCCGAAAATAAGCAGAAGTAATAATGCAGGCATTGAAAATATTGGCAAAGGAAATGTAAGATATATTTTAAAAGATTTATTTGATCTTATTTATAAGTCGCGATGCGGCTTTTCAAATAATATTTAAAAAGTATTTTTAAAACTACTCTTCATGTGTGTGAGAGAGAAAATAATATAGTATTACTTTTTAGATACAATATAGGAGCATATTTAAAATTCTATATATTTTTATTTTTTATACTTTTTTTTGTATTGGTATTGATGAAATTGATAGAAATGACTTATAAAAAGAACTCGAGAAGTATGTTTCTATAGTTCTATCTATTACACTTGCAAATACTGAAGATGGATGAGAATACTGTCAAGTCATTCTTCTATATGTGTGTGCGTTTATATATTGACACAATATCCTCTCATTCCTATGATTCATTTTTTGTTTTTTTTTCTCTAAATAAAAAATGGGGAAAGTTTCAATGTTTGTAAAATGAAAGTAAAAAAGTGCAGTAGATTCTTTAGCCCCATATGGAAGCCAAATATTTGAGTTGGGTATTACCATGAGATTATGATTCCTTTGTTACTCTTATATCATCTAGGCATGATCTGCATCTAGTAAGTTAACTGAATGGTTGTTATTGACTCAAAAAGCTGGAATAGAGTGACTCAGTATGCTTACTGAGCTCATATGAATCAATTTGGTTCAAATTAGGTTGAGGAATAATCAAAAAAGAAAGAGTGTCAATATTGATTACAAGAGAAAAGGTTATTCTTATCAGTCTACAAGGAATCCAAATATCAATTTTCAGCAAGAGAAGTAATATTGCCTAATATTGTTTCAATAGAAGTCCTAATCCCGATGTTGACGCTTCTTCACTTGTTAATTCTTATCCAAATTAGCATTCAAATCTGTCTCAAGGCTCCAATAAACTTGGACCGCTATTAGGTTTAATATATATTGTCCCTCCAATATGAAGAATTCTGGAGATTAAAAAAAAGGGAGTAAATGTGCATTTTTGCTTTTAAAGTATTCTTTGAGGAGCATCCATCACCTTAAATTATTGATTGAAATAATTTTGCCTTTAAAGTAAATAAAATAAAGCATTTTTGCCTACCTCATTAAATTTCATAACAGTCAACGTTTGAGTCTTAATATTTTTAACAATAAACGTTGGAAATTTGATTGTAAAAATAAAAATGCTTCATTTTAATTACTTTAAAAGAAAAATTTTCCAAAGAATTATTTAGGGTGTTGGGATTTCCTCAAAAAATATCAAGAACAAAAATACTCTATCCGGTCTTATTTATAAGTCATTTCTATTAATTTTATCAATGCTAATATAACAAAAATATAAGAAATAATTATAATTGAAATTCTAAAAGTAATCCTCAATGAAAAGGCAAAAAGTACAGTTAATATAATATTATTTTTTAATATTTCTCTCTCATTTTAAAAATATGAGACTAAAAAAGTTGCTCAATTTTCTGGCAGGAGTTGAAAAATACTAGTGGGTAAATTTTGAAAAAGCTAGCTCCCTTTGAGAGGGAGTCAAATGCAGAATAAAAAAAATAAAATAAAAGCACGGAATGTTCAATCTTTACCGTGAAAAAATGCTTCATTTCCTTTGATTTAAATGCTCCAATCAATAAGAAAAATAGTGAGGACAACAGCACCATTTACTTGGGACTTAAATGTTCCTTCCATGTGTGAGAATATTTAGCTAGACAATAATGAAAATAAAGATCAATATATTACAATCAAAGAAAAAAGAAATTATAAGGACATCTCTTTTTATAAAATTTATGAGTATTTTCATATAAAATTTATATTGTGAAAACTTATA